TTGTTAGTTCAACGTTGGCTACGGACTATTGAGATTTCTATGTGAGCTTTGTTCGTACCTTGCACTGCGTTGTGTTTAACGTTCTTGGTAGCTTGAACTCTAACTACGGAATATACTCTGTGGTACTGAGAAGAGCTCAACGAGTTTTTTCTTTGCGGAGAGTTCCGGAACAGTGAACTGTTCCTTTTGGTAAAATTAATTTTATCAGGCTATCATCGGTTCTGTTTATATTCAATCTTACAAATCCGTACATACGCAACAGTATTTTACAAACTTTGACGTCATGATCCACTTGCAGATCGTTGATCAAGTGAGAGAGGATATATAGGAGAAAAAAATTAAATGAGGGCTATTAACAAATAAGACCTTTTATTAATAGCGATAAATTGATAACGGTAAATAATTTTAAATAAATGACAAAACAAAAATACAGGCTTATATTGCGTTATACACTTTGGGAACAATGGCATTAGTTGAGAATTAAACTATTTTACATAATTTTTCAGATGTTTTCTAGTGGTATAACCCATATTCAGTAATAATTCGCGAAAATGAGCATAATTTGTTTTGTAAAACACATTGGGTGTCCTTTTTTATAGGATACATTTTATGTAATTAAATTTTTTAAAAGTTAATCGTTTGTTCTGTGAAATGTAACACTAATGAAATATTGATAATTGTACAGAATTTTGTTTATTGTTTATAGGATTTGTGAGAGGGAAATGTGTATTCATCACTTCAAATTTAGACATTGTGGTAGAGAGAATTCTAAAAACCTGATAAATTTCATTTCATTTGAAATCTTGGAACTACAGATTTTAAAGAAAACGTATCCCATATTTGACAAACGTTAGCTGTGTGTCATGTTTTAAACTGGGAAGAACAAATCTTCAGTAAATATTCAACTGAACTGATTCCAAAATATAATTTTGTATAAAGTATTTGCACTTTTATTCTTTTATTTATGCAGCGTTATTTTTAATGTAACTGGCATCGATTTAAATAGCCGTCAATATTTACCCTACATAATAAAAATAAAGGCGCTATGTATTTTGTGAGTTAGTTGTTGTTATTACGTAATATTATATTAGGACATAGCTGTAATGGAGAGTACTGTGCCTGTTAATATGGCGATTAATTGAATATTTGCAGAATTTAAAAGGTTAAAAAACAACGCAGTATATGAGCAAATATTTAAAAAAGCCACCCAATTTTTTTTTTTTTTAAACGATTGCGCCATTTTGCACCTTGCTTCTGTCGCAGTAATCCAGGCGTAGACAAGCAGTAAAGGCCCATTATCTTGTGGTTGATAAGCGCGGGAACCCGCCGCTGGCAAAGATTGAACGAACAGTTCGGAACACTCCCCTTGTCCTTGAAAAGTCTTTTCTATGGAGTGGTATTAGGGGCCATATACAGTTTTCGAAGTTTCTCCTCATATGGGGTTGTGTGTATAAATTTGCGTGCTGCGTGCCTTTCAAAATGTGTATGATTTACTAGAAAATTTAGTAAAAAATCGGGGCTATGTAAAATTTAGGCCTCTTCTCAATCTAACCTAATCAAGCGTGGTAATTGAATTTATCTTGCAGAATCCCTCGCCATCCATTTGTAAGGCGTTTTCCTCGATACTTTACAAGCTAGGTACATTAATTAGCCAAATAAAAAAAATATTATAAGAAATGAATTTTTTCCAATAGTTTTTATCAGTGGTAGTCTGAAATATTCAGCTTTGCACATAAATGAAAAATCGAAAATGATATCGTACTCAAAATTTGATTTTTCATAGTTTAAATTAGGAGCATAAAAATTATGAACATGTTTTGAGTGAAATCTAGTGATTATAACCCTTTCCTTCCCTCATCTGTAGTGTCTGGAAATTAAAAATAGCTTGTATTAAAAATCAAAAGGGGGGAACTTTCATGCTAATGCTTTATTGTATTACAAAATATAATTAATAAATTTATTAGCTCTGTAGAATAACAGTGAATTGAACAATTAAAATTAGGTTCAGTGTAAAATTCTCTTTAATTGAATCAATACTTCTATTTGAATGCTTTGTGTTTGTTGTACTATATATTACTAAAATTAAATGGCATAGGTATAAAATTTCTAAATATCCTATAACACAAAAGAATTAAGAGTAATAGTGCAAATTAAATTGAGTTACCAATCTGAGCGTGCTTAATTATTTATTTGGAATTTGGAAAGCGATTCAGGAGGTTCTTTTTATGTTTCTGTATTAAATCTCAAAGAACAGTTAAGCTTTTAATACATGTTGTTAAGAGAGGGACTTCTCACATTCTTATGATTTTCTTTTGCTTTCCTATAATGGTATCAAAAATTATTAATTATTTTAAGTGCTTATTGCTTTAAAGTGCACTTAAAATATCTTAAAAATAATATGAAGTATATAAACAATGAAAATGGAAATGAATTCTGTTAAATATATATATTTAGTCTCGAAATTGAGAGTACACTCCATTCTACGACAGAATTCATGTTTAGAATGAAAACAAAAACTGTCAGATAAAGACAGTCACCAAAACCTTTAGAAGAGAATGTAGAAAGATACCTAATCTTAATATTTATTATAAAAAAAAATGCATGAAAAAACAGAAACAAAATGTACAATAGAAATCGTCAAAAATCTGAGCTCACAAATTGAGGGTACATGTAATTGTTTTATTACATAAATTAAAAAAAAACAACACATTAATATTTGTGTTCATACCCACTGGCTTTGATGACAGCTTCCAGCCGCCGGGACATCGAATCGACAAGATTTTTCGTAATTTCGGGTGAAATGTTTTCCCACTCCACTTTTAGTACATGCTTCAAATGTTCTTTACTTGTGATCTGTTTTTGGACCTCTTTTCCAAGGTGGGACCACAAATTTTCGGTCACGTTCAAATCGGGATTGAGGGGGTGTGTTCAGCTGATTTTGGCAGTGATACAGCAGCCATTCTTTGACAGTAATTGCTGTATGCTTTGGATCATTATCCTGTTGAAATGTGAATTTTGATCCTAGTCCCAATTGAGTAGCACTGTCCTTCAAATTATTTTTCAATATATTAAGATAACCCATTTTATCCATTATTCCATTAATAAACACTAGCTTTCCAACTCCCGATGATGCCATACAGCCCCAAACCATTACTGACCCACCTCCATGCTTCACAGTTGGAATTGTGTTTCTTGGAGCTAAAACTGAATTTTTCTTGCGCCACACCATACAATGACCGTCACTGCCAAAAACATTAAATTTACTCTCATTGCTGAAAATAACTTCATTCCAGAACTCTTTAGGCTTTAGAATATGCTCTTTAGCAAATTTTAATCTCTTAGCTCTATTCATTTTACTAAATTTAATCTCTTAGCTTTTCTGCCATTATAAACCTTCTAAGGATTTTGCTCACTGTTTCTGCAGAAACAAATTTGCCCACAGTTTCCAAAGTACTTGCGGCAATTTTTGGGGCACTTATTGTAGGATCAATCCTTACCTTGTGTACAATTATCCTCTCTGCTGCTGAACTGAGAATTTTCTTCCTGCCTCTTCCTGCTTAGTTTTACAGCGTTCCATCCTTTCTAAATTTTTGAATGATTTTTCTAATACAATTTACACTTCTTTCAAGTATTTCTCTTATTTTTCTCAAAGATTTGCCTTGATTAAACAGATTAATAGCCAGTTTTCTTTTCCTCAATCGTCGTTTCTTTCCTGTTCTCCATATTTGTCACACAGAAAGGTAGTAAGCTCAAATTTGGAATATTTGGATACTCAAAGTTTGTATTTTTGTATAAATCTTAGGTACAAATTACTTTTAAAATTTCACTGGTAGTTTTACACAGTCATTTAAGAAGTGAACTCTCAATTTTGTGACTTTCTGAAGTTGAAGATTTTCGTTTAAGTAATATAATATTTTTTAACGGAGTTTTATAACATTTTTTGTGTAGTTAAGAAGAAAAACATATATTTTTTAATGGGACAAAACTAGGAAAACTTGCATAATTACTCAGAAATGGTTTATGTTTTGCAAAAATATCTTGATTTTTCAAATATTGTCTGGTGAGTAGTGATAAATGATTTAAATTATGTATATATATATATATATGTTGGAGACATTAGGATTTTTGATGTGAAAAATGTGCAGTGCCCCTACTGGGACTCGGGACGCTTGACCTCTCAAATATGACTTGAGTATGCTTTCAATTGCACCACGAAGGTATGCCAAAAGGAGAGAGAAAATACTTCATATACTCCATATTTTAAAGAGTGACAGGGGATTAGTAAATACCAAATCATGGTGGTGGTAAGTTACCATCCAGGCAGGCACCTTTTAGTTTCGGTGCAGCTGTAGAGTCATTAGGATTTTTGATTTTGGAGATGTGAAAAATGTGCATTGCAGGACTTAAATCCTGGACCTCTCGAATATGCTTTGAGTATGCTTCTACCTTATAATGTAATGAGCAACAGTGTGATTTAGTTTTTGACTGTTTTTCCTCAGTACTCGTTGCTGAATTCTGCAATCTCCAAGAAGCAGTGCATGTTGTAATATATTCCTAATCAAATAGTAACTTTAGCTTCTTATAACAGGAATTTTGTTTTAACTGTGATCCGATAATTTATAGTAAGTACATAGGCTTGCAGATTTAATCCCTAATGTCATGTATATAATCATTTACGTAAATTTTTAAGTTTGCTAACAGTTTCACATGGCTTTAAGAACGTTCTAAGTTATTAGGAATGTGAGAGACCTAATGATGTCTAGCTTTTTCTTATTTGTTTTGCTGTATGCTAGATTAGTCATTTAAATATGGGAAGAACGGCAAGTTAAAAGCAAGTTAAAAGCAAGAATAAAATATGGCCCAACTTTTGATATTGACAGTTTAAGCACCCAAGAAATATGTCTTCCACACTCATGTCTAAAGGAGAATGAAATGTGTTAATCATTAGCTGTTGTCAGAAGTCTACAATTGTCTTCATAAACATTTTTTCCCCCCTCCAGGTATGGTAAAGTGCAGAGTGTGAAAATCCTTCCCAAGAAAGAGGAAGACAGTGGAATCTGTGCAACTGTAGCTTTTATTGATATCAAGTCTGCAGCAAAAGCGCACAATGCAGACAATAAAATTGATGATCGAACTTTAAAAACAGACTATTACGAACCTCCAGCATCCAGCACAGCAACTTCGGCCATTTACATCCACGAGAGAGATGATGCTTTAGTGCGGCCGGCACCTGCACCCTACACTGCCGGTCGCACACCCCGCTATGGGTAAGTGTTATTGCCAAGTGACCACTATCTTTCTTCTTTTGTAAAAAATAGTTTATTAAGTTTTAGGCTTTTTGAGAATATTATCAAACACTGATGAGCTTTTTATTAAATTTTTGCTGACATGTAGTTTCAAAAGTTATTTAAATGTGAATGATCCTTATTAAAGTATCACTCAGTTTAGAAGTTCATGAACAAAATTTCAATTTTATTCAAATTCTAATTTTAAGAAATATAAATATCTCCCCTCCCCAAATCACAAAATAGAAATGTCTTCCCCTCCCCCCATGTTGAATTTGAGGTCACATTAAATGTAAGGATGAATATTTAAAGGTTTCATTTTGTATTGGTGATATTTATGAAGGTTCTTTATCTAATTATGTCTTAGGGCTAGTCTATAAAAATGGTTCTGAATAAGAAATTTACAACTTTTATCCTAATGATGTATGTGACTAAGATTATATTTGAAACAATTTCGTTTTTTTCTTGCAAAAAGCCGATGAAAACTTTCCTGTTAGATGATTAAAATGAAAAATTCTTGTAGAATTATGTTTAATTAATGGAAATTTTTTAAGAATATTTACCTGCTGTTGTGCAACTGCAGTTATTATCCATACACAAGTAATATAGTAATACAACATTATTATCAATATCTGCTTAAAATTAGAAACTTTCCAGCAAAATTTGTATGTAGCTGTTTTGATACATCTGATATTAAACATAATTTGATATATTTGATGCCTTATATATCAAACTGATTAGTGAGATACTTATGATAGAAATTCATAAATTTAATGCAAAATAGCCATGCAGAAATTTTTTTTAAAACATTATTACAACATTAGTTTCACTAGTTGCGTATAAACACATATTTGAACAGTTAGAATGGAATAACACCTTTGCTGTTATTGTATATGAAATTTGAGAAGTAAAAGAACTTAATTCCATTTGATTTTTAACATAATGTTAAGGAATTAGTAATTCTAATTCAAAAACAATCATTTCATAAATCTGTACATTTTAGTTTTAGATAGATGAGTATTGCTTTTGTGCTTTTACTGAATTGCTAGCAAAATTTACTAGATTCTGACAACAGTGTGATGTAGTCATTAATGTTCTTTCAAATAAGCATCATGTAACAGAAAGAGTGTTATAAACACTTATGAAACTCATCAGTGGTTATTAAAAATGTTGTTATTGCAGAAAAATAATGCATATTATTATTGCAGCATTTTTATGTTTTTATGACATTATTGTTGTATCCTTCAGGTGTTATTTTCTCTTAATACAAAAATAAAATATTCTGATGTGAAATTTTGTATATTTCGCATATAGCTGTGGGTTGTAGAATTAAGTTCATGTAAATGCGTTGAAGTTCACCCTGCTGTTCAATATTTTATTTTGGAAAAAGCCAATAACAGTATGGAAATGAAGTACTCTGAGGGAATTTTTGTATAAATAAAGCATGCTAATTAAAAGAAAATGTGCATCTTTATTTATTTATTTGTTTTATTTTATATATATGTAGTGTTATACCCAGTGTCTCAAGGGTTGTAAAATACATTGCAAATGTATATGATTAAATTCCTTATTTTGAAATTTTTTTACTCTATGCATGTTATATTCTGAATTTTTTTCAAAGATAATAGAAATCTGTAGTGTAATTGAGAAATTCTACAAGCATTAAAGAAAAAGTATTTTAAATTTTCAAGTAAATAATCAATCAATCTTCTGAAATGAAATTTTTCAAATTAGCAGGAAAATTGGTGCATTTTGATGAAAGATAGTTATGCATTTATTATGTAAGATTTTAAATTGGTGTTTGGAATGTTTTTTTGCTGCCCATGGGACATAGGAATCTTTTTTGTTTCTTTACAAAATAAGAAAGCATTTTTGTTTTGTTAAAATGTAAATTTGTTTCTTTTTTAACAATGCTTGGTCTGTTATTTTATGTTGGTTTTATTTTTAATATTTATAATTTTTCTTTTGTTTTATTTAACCTTTATACTGGTAGCTCCTTTTTTAGGATTTTGTTCAGTTTGTAAAATGTGGATTAAAATAGTTGAGCGCCCGTTTTCCACAGTGTTGAAAAGACGGGGATTATGTGTTCAGTGCGGATTTATATGCCTGTGGATATACATGTATTATCTCTAGGATTAACCATTGGATTATTCTGATTTTGGATTACTGACTTACCTACATTGAGTGGATTACTATTGTGATAAAAAATACATTTGCGTGTGTTTGTCGACCATCTTGTGGATTATTTTACCAGTGGATTCACATATTTTATTACTCTGGATATACTCATTATTCACAGGTAGCAGTTGTTTAAAAAGGATTTCTGCTTGAAGACTGCATAAGTAAGTAAATGAAATGGTATTATTTTTAATGAAAATATTATACTTTTCAGTGAGGAAGTATGGAAATCGACTCCCTTTTTTAACAAACTGGATATAGTCTTTGAAAGAGTACAGAAATAGGTGACTCAGCTGATAATTGTTTGAAACGTTCATTCAGTGCTTTATAGATGAACATTTTAAATAATGCCTTTTTTACTCAGAACAGTTTAAAAGAATCTATTCATTAAAGGTAAATGGGCAAATTCTACATGAATTTACTCAATTTAAAACGTAATTTATTTTGAATAACATTTTTATAGGTTTCTTGACGTTTCCATGCATAATTTTCCTTGCTTCTCTTTATTAAATTCAGTTATGATAAAAAAATCTGGTCTCGTGTCATAACAGAATTTAAAAGCAAACTAAAAATAAAATAAGACTAAAAAGCAAAGTATTCAGCAGATACTTGAGCAGCATCTTATATAAAAAAATAAATTTCTGGTGTAATTTATATAGAGTTTTATGATTCTTGGATCCATAAATATTTTTTTGCATTTCTGCTGCTGTTTGTATATAGATTGTTGATAATGTTGATGCATGTTTATTTATTTTTTGTAATTCATGAGCAAATCACAACATATATATTGATTATAATTTTTTAGTTTGAGATAAGAATTCTTCAAAAAATAGATTTAAAAAAGTGCTGTTAATGAGTTATTGATAAAAAAAGACCTGCTATTAAAAATAAATAAAAGTATAATTAAAATTTGTGTAAAAGTTTCCATGTGGAAGAAGAAAAAAGAATTGATATAGAAGATAAAACAGGTAATTTTTTTAAGAGAGAAAGAAATGTAACAAACATAATTTATGTTTGAAAATTTATTATTTTTCTATAAAATGTGAATAAAACAGGAAATGAAACAATTTATCTGTACGGCAAATAGTGGATGAAAAAAAATTCCGTGAAAATAAGTAAGATAGGTTTTTACATGAGAGAAATTTTTAATTTTAATTTAAAAAAAAATTTATTCTTAGTTCTTATAAAATGAAAAGATATCGTTTTAAGATTCAGGATATCAATGAAATAACTTTAGCAAATTGCATTTTATTTTAGATGTTGGTTAACATGTATTTTGATGCCGAGATGTGTGTTAATTAGTAAGATTAAGCAACAAGTTATATTCATTGGTATTATTATTTTACTTTGTTTATTTGCCTATTTAAAAAATGGATATTATTATGGAGTGTGCATCATGATAACCAATTATGCAATTTTCCTATTTCTGGTCACTTAGTTATTTTTCTGATGCTGAATGATTTTGAACCATAGGCACTCCGTAACTTATAATCATTGGCATTATTATGCTATGTAAATGTAACTTGTAAACTTCCAATTACACTAGCAAGGCATTGTTAAATATAAATTGTTATTCTGATGCAATTGTTAAATATAAAGGTAATAGAAACAACTTATTATATATTAAATTCTTGAATACTACTAATTTATATGAATTAAACTAACAGTAATCTTTCTTACTTTGTAATAGAGTATTCAAACTTCGTGTCTGTCTGGCAGAACGCAAGTTCTCAAAGTAACTAACCGGCTGATGAACAAACATTTCTCCAGTTTTTTCTGAGCGTGACTCATAAAGTTTTGGTAGCAGATAAGGCTTCGCAATATTTTTTTTTTTTTTGAAACCCTCTATGGTCTTTCGCAAATCTTTATTGAAAGTGGACAAAGAAAAAAAGAAGCGTCGGATCGGAAGTAGGCCACCGCCGGTTGGTTAGGCCTTTTTCTTGCCTTATTGAAGTGTTTCGCTCCCACCATAGGGCATTGAACTCCACGAAAACGTGAATCGACCGCACGTGACGCTGTGTGACGTAGCCGTGTCGCGCAGTGATTGCTGGGAAGATTATATGCCCCTTTTTTCCTCTTCAAAGCGGGTTTGCTTATGTGTTGGAAAAGACAGCGTAATTGTTGATGTAGGTTGTTGTAATCAACAAGAAGTTACTCTTCGGCAGTTATTTAGAAGTGAAATGTACTTCTTGTTTACTGCAAGTTCTTGTGGATGTGAATAACTTATATATCATGTTGGAGTTCGGCTGTTTTTGTACAAATGGGTTAATTCTACCATTCATTGTATTAAATATTCCGTCTGTGACTTCGTTTGCATATTTTTGCAGCTGTCATCTTCTCCCCATCTTTATTCTGAAGGAGTGTTTCTTTTATATTCGTTGCTTTTAATATGAATATTGAATCTTTGATTTAAAATTTTGTGATTAGCAGTTATTATTTGTGTACTTGGGGCAGTATTAATGTTAAGTATTTCTCCCCTAAAATAAGAATTTGATCAGTTAGCGATAGTGACTGTCGTTTCTTTACTTTAAACAGCTGTACGATTTTGGGCGTCAGAGGTGACTAGTATAATTGATGCCTCGTAAAAATTTTTAACATTTTAATAGTTCAAAGTTAGTTAACCGCTCGAACTTTCTAAGAAAAATTCCTTTTATTTGCATGTACATTAGAGAAAAATTTACAGTAAATGATATAGAAGCTACTCAAACAAAAGAAGTTATTGTGCCGGGAATCGAACTGCCACTGTTCAGTTTTTAAATATTTGACCACAGTTGAGCCTATTCGTTGAAGCAAATAGTAACTGA